TAAAATCACATTGTTCACCTCATAGAGAGATAAGTTTGAATAGGTTTCATTTCATATAAAACTGCATGATAAAGAGATTCGAAGGTCAGTCTCACCAAAATATGAAGGCTGAATCCCGTTGTACCTCAGTTGTCTGGTTTTAATACGGTGTTTAGGCTAACGCAGTCCACGAAACGTCTTCCCTCGTTTCGGGTGAAAACTGGCTGATCTTTCGTCCATCATATGATGGACATCATCGGAGTCTGAAGTTAACGTTAAGTCCGGCTCTATTGTATGTCTTATAAATACTTACAACTAAAAGGGAAAATATATAGCAATAGACAAATATAGACTGATTTGGCTAATTTACCTTAACAATGGTAATATTATTTTGACGAGTTCGTAGCTTGGTGCGGCGAATGGCAAAACTCGCTGATGATGCCGACTATGATGCCGGCGAAACGTTTGAGAATGTACCAACTCCACTGTCTGATGCTGGGAATCATGACAACTACTATGACAGACGACTTCGGACTAGGTGCGTTCTACTAACTCCCCATGACAACAAGACCAAGTTGCGACAACGAGGTCAACCCATTTCAATATTATTTTTACTTGAGTGTATGTGTGCGCGCGTTTGTTAGCGTTTGTAAGCAATACCGGTTCTAACTCTGTGTAATTATAAAAGTCGTTCAGGTTTTGGTTATCAAAGCCTAATTACCCAAGAAAAAGCAGTCAGTGAGACTGCCTAAGTCTGTAAGCAACTCTGGTTAAGATGAGATGCAAGTTTGTAAATGTGTAAGTCAGGTTACAAGACCACCTTTCATAACCTCTAAGTTTAGAGTTGTTAAAGTTTAGTGCCCAAAGGAAAGGAATGACTCGTATTAAATTTCAATAATTTAGAAGATGACTTGGCCGGTCCCACTGGGGATCAAGAGCTTATTTATAAATAGTGTAATTAAGATCCGCGACTATCGGTCACGCACATTCCCAGATCTCAGAAAGCAACGATAAAATATTCGAAATCTTCAGGGCAGTATCGAGATCCGCCAAGCCAGGGTCTCAAAGGAAACGCAGCTGGTAGCTTACGTTTTGTTAGTCTCGACGATGTAGTCTGGATCTCGACGAACACGGCTTTCCACGACGCATGTAATTGAGGCCATTGGAAAACCACGCTCTTCGTTGTAATAACTCCCTTTTTGCTTGTCCTTCATCATCCCATAGCCTCGTTCGGGGGCACAATTCTCGTTCTCCTCGCCTAGTGACCTGTCATATTCGCCTTGATCGCCACGAAAGGATGCATCCTCACCCACGCCAACCTGCGCTGTGGTAGCGGAGCCACCGCCGAACCCAGTCTCCAGGCCGACTGCTGCGTTGGCGACATCAACACCTCCGGGGCCACGGACACTTTGTCTCGGCTCAAAATCGGCCAACAACTCGCCCGATCTGCCAGGGACATCGTAGAAATTGGAAGGAGACCTTGAAAATGTCTGGTTCGGCGAGAGCGAGCCCGTTGAATCTGGACCAAGCCCAGGGATGGGCCTGGGGTTGGCGCTGGCTTTGGATTCCGAAGACCGGTTCGACTTGCTACAACCTCGTCGGGCCCATTTTGCCTGATCCTTCAACGAGCTGGGTCGTTCAACGGAGTAGGCGTTCACCCAAAGGGCAGAGATGCCTTCGTTGCGTTGGCGCATGTTGCTGACGTGAAATGGTGGGGACGGTAGTGGAGCGCCGTTGCGCAGCCAGTAGACAATCTGAGCCGGAGGGCGGCTATCGTGTGCCTCCTCGATGTACCGAAAATAACAACGCAGCAAGGCCGGACGGCCCTCCATCAGAGTATAAGGCTCGAGCGGCAGAGGCGTAGGAAGAGCATGAGTCTCGGGTAGGCCAATTGGGCTGGACGAGGTGGCGGTGTCGACTTGTGGGATGAGTAAAGATTGCCGGAAGGATAGATTCGCCAACTCCGAGTGCACATCCTCTTTCAGAGCGGCATATTCTTGGGATGAAACGTGGCTCGCGTTGAAAACGACGATCCTGGGGTCGATCGGTTTATAGACGTCCCATTCGATTTCATAGTGAGCCTGTATGGTTTTCTGTAGTACCACAGAATAGAGGTAGCAAATTGACAGACAGATTTATTTACATAAAAGCAAGCTCGGAAAATATCATACCTCAATAGGCCATATTAACGAAGTATATATAATTATATAAAAGAAAGTTTATAAAATTGTTAGAGGGACCTTCATTTCGTATGAAAGGGCATGAAGAAGAGATTCGTTGGTCGATCTG